CCAAATAAACACTCCAGATCTTTTTTTTTTTTTTTTTGAACAGAGTCTCGCTTTGTTGCCCAGGCTTAGAGGAAATGCCGTGGTGTCAGCCGCTAACAGCACCTTCCACTCCTGGACTCAATCCAATCCTGCTTGCCTCACCTCCGATACTGGGACTATAGGCATTCGCCCACCATGCCCGCTAATTTTTCTATATGTAGTTGTGCAATTAATTTCTTCTATTATAGTTAAGACAGGTCTCGCTCTGCTCAGTGCTGGTTTGAAATCCTGACTCAAAGCAATCCGCCCACCTCGGCCTCCCAGAGTGCTAGAGTACAGCGTGAGCCCACCGGCCCGGCTACTCCCAAATCTGACCACAAGAACTGTGACAGAAGTACCATATTGAGTCATTTTAGCTGCAAGATGTAGGACAGTTTATGTTACCGCAGCAGCCAGTGACTAATACACAGGACTCCAGGTCCCATAACCTTTCCGTCTGGTTCTGTTTCCCTTCCCAGCAGCCACACGCTCTACTCTTGGCGGCCCATTCTGTTCCCATCTCTCCCTTCTCCTGCTTCGTACCTCACACTTCCTCCTGTCCGCCACGACAAATCTTCTCTTGGGCTGTATGGCTGGTGTGGTCCCGGTGGTTAAAACCGTGGTCGGCTCTCTCAAGGGGACGCACGCCTTTACAGGTTCCTTTTCCCCCAGGCTGTCCCTGAGCTTCTAAACTTCTGGATCTCAACCTTTTAGGTGTCTTGCCCACCAGCCGATGTCATTCTTTCCTTTCCCCTAATTCAAGATGATCACAGTTTTCAGACACTCTGTCCCATCAGGCTTGCTTCTCTTTGTCCCACACGCCCAAGCTGTCTGTGGAAAGGGCAGGCCCTTGTCCTGCCCTGTCCCCTCTCCTCAGGCCCAATTAGAGCCGGAAAACCCTCCCCCTCCTCCGTGGCCCCAACTTCATGAAATAAATCACTCAGCGAGCCTACAGGAAATTTAAACCTTGGTCTTTTTTTTTTCTCTTCTTTTTGTCTATGGACTTTTTGTTGGGTTTTCATGGGAAGAGGTGTTTGTGAGGAAACTATCTGCGGCAACCATGTCTCGTCGTACATACTCGCTTTACTAATATCACGGCGAAGGAAAGAGCGAGTCGCGACCAATAAGGGGGGAAAGCACGCCGGTGAACGTGAGAGATAGCAACCGCGAAGAGACAACATACATAATGTGCAGACTTAAGAAAAATTAGTAAACTATCTCAATCCCTGCTGACATATATACTCATGCCAAAAACTGAATGCACAGACAGAGACGAGCGAGAGCAAGTTCGAGACCAGCCAGCTCAGGAGTTCGAGACCCCATCTGTACTAAAACAGAAACAATGAGCCGGGCGTAGGCTGGCAGTCGTTCCTGCTAGTCCCAGGTACCAGAGACCAGACGGCCGCGAATCGCTGAGCCAGGAGTGCGAGGCTGCAGTGGCTGGATGACGCCAACGGCACTCCAGCTGGAGAGCAGACCCGTCCTCATAACTACATAAATAAGCAAAGGTACATCGTAACACAACCAAGAGCGCAGCCTCCGTGCGATATCCGCACGACCCCCAGCAATCGCGTTGTCCTCTGCGTTCTCCCAAATTTCGGACCACTCACGAGTGACCTCGAGTCGCCTGGGGCCACGCCTGAGGCAGAGTGCGAGCTGGAATCCTGGGTGTGCATTGCCATCAGCAGAGGCACGCAGCCACTCACCTGCTCATATAAGCTCGCGCGGGCTCCCAGCTTGGTAGTCTCGCCCTCCCACGTAAACACGCCAGTGGCGTGGGGCAGGTGCGGGTCTCTGGCATGGCTGGTAACCCTGTTTTTTTTTTTTGCAGATAGACGTCTCACTTTTCTGCTCCGGCGCTAAAGTGCTGTGGCATCAGCCTAGCTCACAGCCCACCTCAACTCCTGGGCCCAAGCAACATCCTCAGCTGCCTCAGCCATCCCGAGTAGCTGGGACTACAGGCATAGCGCCACCATCCGCCCGGCTAGTTTTTCTATACCTTTATAGTTGGCACAACTTAATTTTTTTCTTCTTTCCTATTTTTAGTAGAGACGAGTCTTGCTCGCTGCTCAGCGCCTGGTTTGGAACTCCTGACCTTGAGCCGCCCCTCTCCGCCTCGCCTCCCAGAGTAGCTAGGATACAGGGCGTAGAGCTGTGCGCTGGCCAACGGTGTACCTCTTTACGATGGGAACTGGGCATTGGAGAAGCCATAGTGCCTCTCCCTCTCGACACACGCGGGACACAGAAGGCAATTCTTCACGATCCCCAATCTAGGCCGACGTGGCACTTCTCTGTTATAGAGATGAGGCCCCAGCCTTCCGCAGGATGAGCAGGAGCAGCGTGAGGGTGGGCGCAGGAGGGCTGTCAAGACCAGATCCCCTGCCTGGGCGGGAGAGGGGGCCACCTGCCGGGTCAGTCCTCGCTCCCAACCGTGCCCAGCTACACATCCCGCGAGACGCCGCGCACCCTGCGCCATCCGCCCTCCGCCACCCGGCTCCTGCGTGTGCTGTCGCTTGCCTTGCCTGGGTGGGAAACGAGCAGACCCAGACGACACGCCCACAGACCGCTGCTGCGGCCGCTGCCCAACCTCCCCAGCGGCAGCGCGGCTCCTGGGGCAGGACGGCAGAGAAGCACCGCGCCACCGCTCCATCTGCTCCTGAGCCTTTCATCCGTGCCCGCTGACTCGCGAGATTCGAATTCCCTCACCCAGCGACTCTTCAGAAAAGCCGCGACAGCGCAACGATCCGCGGCCGTGATTACAAAGCCAGCCCCACAACCACACCGTTCGCCCAAGGACTCTCCGAGATCCGTGTTACACCCTCGACATTTCAGATTCCTCAACGAGCACTTTGGACAATTGTCGCACAAATGCCCATTAAGGGCGGGACTCCGGGCAGGTGCGCTGCACGGTCCACTGGCTCAGATCCCCACGCTGTCCTCGGAGGAGCACAAACGTGTCCACTGTCTTTGGCGGGGACAAGAGGGGTCACGTTGTCTCCTGCTCGGAGCAGCTGAGGGGCTGCCACTCTCACCGCAGCGTCCAGACGTGCAAAGCAGGAAGGGGAGTTCACACGCACAGCCTCACACGGCCGTCCCCAAGTCACGCACGGTCTCGCAATGCAGCCGCACACACGCTACGACACGACCACACGCACCTCACATACGACAGACACACGACTGTACGCAACCCCACGCACGCAGGGTCACAAGCGCACATCCACGACCACAACTACATACAGTCGCACACGCAGCAATCACACACACAAGCACAATGCCACTGTCATACACAGCCACGCGTGACCACGCACAGCCCGCCAGGTGTGTGGCACCAGCGTCCCAGGTCTGCAGGGAGGAGGCCACCTCACACCTCGTCCCCCGGCCCCCACGGGCTTCACGATCTCGGAGCCTCAAGGCAGCTGCTGGCAGGGGCAGGCGCGGCAGCTTGGTCTCCTGGGAGCTGGGTCCCCAGCGGGCAGAGGACCCCCAGGACGCACCACTGAGGACATGCCGACACCCCGCAGAGCCCTGCCTCACTTTCCTGCCACAGTTAATTGAAGTCATGACAGTCCCCTGGCAGGTGCCACCCCAGGCTCTCTGACCTCACCCTCTCCAAATTGTCACCCCCCAAAAAAGTCCTCAACATGTGTTTACTCACAAGCAACTCGGAGGAGGCAGAGACCTCCTGGCAGGGAGGACACGCTGGGCAGGGACGGGAGGGTTTGGGGGTCCTCAGCCCTAGGTCCTACCAAGTCTCTCCCTCCAGTTCCTGCTGCGCCGCCCCGGGAGGCTCCCGGCTGAGTGCTGGACTTGGTTTTAGCCGAGTGCACAGGCAGAAAACAGTGGAAGGGTGTGGATGGGCGGGGGGGACCCCCGCTGGGTGCTCCAGCCCCATCTGCATATGCTGGCTGCGTCCACACAACACGGACGCGTCTACACAACCCGGCAGCGTGTCTACACAGCCCCAGCCCCGGGTCTCCACGAACTGAAGTGCAAGGCACCTCCGACTCACCTGGGTCCGGCTGGGCGAGGAAGCTGCACCTCAGATCCTGCCCAACCGACTGGGAGCCACAACCGAGTGGGGGCGGGGCGGGGCGGGGGCGCTCTCCCCTCCCCCTTCCTTTCCCTTCTCCCTCCCCTTTTCCTCCTCCTCCCCTGCCTCACCACTCTGGCTGAGCCCCTGCCCTGCCCCCACCAGGGTCCCCTACCCCGTGCTCTGAACCCCACCCCCTACCCCAGGGAGTGGCCCAGGGCGGGGGTGGGTGGGGCTGGAGCCTGGGGGAGGAGCCGGCTGGTCAGCAGGAGTGCATGGTCTCTGGCCCCTCTGAGCCAGGCAGCCCTGGAGACCCATTTCCCTCCATGGAAAGGAGGGATCTGTGGGAGTCCAGCCGCACTCGGAGTCCCAGCACGGCGACGGTGCAGGACACGCACAAACCCCTGCATCTGCTGCCCACATTCCTACCGGCCCAGGCCCTCGCAGGCAAGGCCAAGACCACGCCTTGTTTCACGGCTGCTTGCTAAGGAGGTCTTTATGTTTCCTATTTTTTTTTTTTAGAGATGGGGTCTCGCTATGTTGCCCAGGCTGGTCTCCAACTCCCAACTCTCAGGCACAAGTGATCCTCCCGCCTCGGCCTCCTGAGTGCTGGGACTACAGGTGTGTGCCAAAGGGCCTTACGTTTCTAAAGTGTTGAAAAATATCACAAGACGACTATTTTGAGACATGTGAAAGTGCTATAAAATTCCAGTTTGGGTATCCACAGATACACGTATGGTGGCCACAGCCACGCCCAGTCACACGTGGTCTGTGATGCCTTCCAGTGACAAAGGCAGAACTGAGAAGCCTGATGGGCAAAGCCTGAACCCTGAGGGCGAGTAGCCTGATCCGCCCAAGGTGGGAACCAGCCCCCTTCAGCAAAGCAGCTGCTGCATCCCTGCCCCAGGCCCCAGGCCCCAGGCCACGCGGGAGGGAGAGGCCGAGCCACGGGTACCAAACGCTGTGTTTAATTATGACACTCAAACAGAAGCCAGGCAACACGTACAACGGAAACTGGAGGAAGGAAAGTGCCTCTGACTCCTTGACATTGGCCACACGTCCGACACTGCAGAGAAACCCCCCCGCGGCCCCACGTATGAAATGGCTTAAATTAAGGCGCAGTCCCACGGGCACTAGCAGGTCACCAGGCCCCAGGCCGTCCTAGCGGCAGCCGTGGGGGGCAGTCCATGCGCTTCTGTTCCAGTTCGCCCAGCGCTTTTTAAGGAACACACAGAAAGGAGACATTGACCTTTTGCTTTTTTTGAGGAAAAACCGTGAGACAATGAGCTCTCGCTTTGTTGTCAGGCTAGAGTGAGTGCACGTGGCATCAGCCTACCCAGCACCTCCAAACTCCTGGCTCAAGCAATCCTCCTGCCTCAGCCTCCGAGTAAGCTGGGACTACAGGCATCGCGCCACAGCCCGCTATTTTCCTATATCACCCATACTTAAGTGGCCTTGATTATCTTCATTCTACTAGTAGTCGACGGGGCTCGCTCTTGCTTCAGGTTCATGTGTTTCGAACTCCTCGACTATACAGCAACCAGCCCGCAATGAGCCTACACAGCAGTGTCAAGCGATTAACAGGACGATAGCAGCCACGCCAGGAACAACAGATACAAGCATGGACAGCATATAAAAACATCAGACAATGATGACTACGGGAACGAACCCTATAATAAAAACAAGAGCAAAAGCATCTACATGCGACGGCCATAGAAGACACAAACATATCCACCAAAAACAAAAATATTTCATTATGACACACAGACTCTCCTGTGACACCAACTATATTTTGATGGAAGAAAACACAGAGTGCACAGTACGATAACGGCAAACTTGACTGCGTTACCAGGATGCTCTGTCGGTTCTAAAAACATATGTCCACGAATTCTTTTCTCTCCTCCCTTAGTGGAACATACTCCAAACCCATACTTTGGGTGTCGGTTGATGCCATTAATCAGACTGCTTCTAATGAAAGTAAATGTACCAGAACTGATGCAATAAGATTTTGAAGTTGCAGTTGACGAACATAGGTCTCTCTCTCTTTTCCTCTGGATCTCACACTGCGCGAGAAGCCAGCAGACCTCGTCTGGCAGCAAGCCAAGCAGCGTGTACGAGAGCCCCAGGTAGGAGGCAACTGAGCCTCCCAACAACAGCCACATGAAGGCGCCAGCTCGGAAGTGGCTCTTCCAGCTTCAGTTGAACCTTCAGATGAGGCAACCCTGGCCAATGTCTACCTGTAACCTCACGGGAGACGTTGAGCCGGAACCACCCAAATAAACACTCCAGATCTTTTTTTTTTTTTTTTTTGAACAGAGTCTCGCTTTGTTGCCCAGGCTTAGAGTGAATGCGTGGTGTAGCCAGCTAACAGCAACCTTCCAACTCCTGGACTCAATCAATCCTGCTTGCCTCACTCCTGAGTACTGGGACTATAGGCACTTCGCCACCATGCCGGCTAATTTTTATATTATGCTATGTTGTGCCAATTAATTTCTTTCTATTATAGTTAGAGACAGGTCTCGCTCTGCTCAGGCTGGTTTTGAATCCTGACCTCAAGCAATCCGCCCACTCGGCCTCCCAGAGTGCTAGACAGCGTGAAGCCACCGGCCCGCTACTCCCAAATCTTGACCACAAGAACTGCTGAGAAGGCTACATATGATCCTTTTAGCTGCAAGATGTAACAGTTTGTTACGCAGCAGCCAGTGACTAATACACAGGACTCCAGGTCCCATAACCTTTCCGTCTGGTTCTGTTTCCCTTCCCAGCAGCACACGCTCTAACTCTTGGCGCCCATTCTGTCCATCTCCCTTCTCTCTGCTTCGTACCTCACACTTCTCCTGTCCGCCATCGACAATCGATCTCTTGGGCTGTATGGCTGTGTGGCCCGGTGTTAAAACCGTGGGTCGCCCTCTCTCAAAGGGGGCACGTCCTTGAGGTTCCTTTCCCCCAGGCTGTCCTGAGCTTCTGAAACTTCTGATCTCAACCTTTTAGGTGTCTTCGCCCCCACAGCGCGATGCTCATTCTTCTCCTTTCCCCTAATTCAATGAGTGATCACTAGTTTTCAGACACTCCTGTCCCATCAGGCTTGCCTTCTCTTGTCCCACACGCCCAAGCTGTCTGTGGAAGCAGGCCCTTGTTCTGGCCCTGTCCCCTCTCCTCAGGCCCAAATAGGCCGAAAACCTCCCCCTCCTCCCGTGGCCCAACTTCTGAAATTAAATCAGTCAGCGAGCCTACAGGAAATTTAATAACCTTGGTCTTTTTTTTTTTCTTCTTTTTGTCTATGGACTTTTTGTTGGGTTTTCATGGGAAGAGGTGTTTGTGAGGAAACTATCTGCGGCAACCATGTCTCGTCGTACATACTCGCTTTACTAATATCACGGCGAAGGAAAGAGCGAGTCGCGACCAATAAGGGGGGAAAGCACGCCGGTGAACGTGAGAGATAGCAACCGCGAAGAGACAACATACATAATGTGCAGACTTAAGAAAAATTAGTAAACTATCTCAATCCCTGCTGACATATATACTCATGCCAAAAACTGAATGCACAGACAGAGACGAGCGAGAGCAAGTTCGAGACCAGCCAGCTGCAGAGTTCGAGACACCGAACCATCTGTACTAAAACAGAAACAATGAGCCGGGCGTAGGCTGGCAGTCGTTCCTGCTAGTCCCAGGTACCAGAGACCAGACGGCCGCGAATCGCTGAGCCAGGAGTGCGAGGCTGCAGTGGCTGGATGACGCCAACGGCACTCCAGCTGGAGAGCAGACCCGTCCTCATAACTACATAAATAAGCAAAGGTACATCGTAACACAACCAAGAGCGCAGCCTCCGTGCGATATCCGCACGACCCCCAGCAATCGCGTTGTCCTCTGCGTTCTCCCAAATTTCGGACCACTCACGAGTGACCTCGAGTCGCCTGGGGCCACGCCTGAGGCAGAGTGCGAGCTGGAATCCTGGGTGTGCATTGCCATCAGCAGAGGCACGCAGCCACTCACCTGCTCATATAAGCTCGCGCGGGCTCCCAGCTTGGTAGTCTCGCCCTCCCACGTAAACACGCCAGTGGCGTGGGGCAGGTGCGGGTCTCTGGCATGGCTGGTAACCCTGTTTTTTTTTTTTGCAGATAGACGTCTCACTTTTCTGCTCCGGCGCTAAAGTGCTGTGGCATCAGCCTAGCTCACAGCCCACCTCAACTCCTGGGCCCAAGCAACATCCTCAGCTGCCTCAGCCATCCCGAGTAGCTGGGACTACAGGCATAGCGCCACCATCCGCCCGGCTAGTTTTTCTATACCTTTATAGTTGGCACAACTTAATTTTTTTCTTCTTTCCTATTTTTAGTAGAGACGAGTCTTGCTCGCTGCTCAGCGCCTGGTTTGGAACTCCTGACCTTGAGCCGCCCCTCTCCGCCTCGCCTCCCAGAGTAGCTAGGATACAGGGCGTAGAGCTGTGCGCTGGCCAACGGTGTACCTCTTTACGATGGGAACTGGGCATTGGAGAAGCCATAGTGCCTCTCCCTCTCGACACACGCGGGACACAGAAGGCAATTCTTCACGATCCCCAATCTAGGCCGACGTGGCACTTCTCTGTTATAGAGATGAGGCCCCAGCCTTCCGCAGGATGAGCAGGAGCAGCGTGAGGGTGGGCGCAGGAGGGCTGTCAAGACCAGATCCCCTGCCTGGGCGGGAGAGGGGGCCACCTGCCGGGTCAGTCCTCGCTCCCAACCGTGCCCAGCTACACATCCCGCGAGACGCCGCGCACCCTGCGCCATCCGCCCTCCGCCACCCGGCTCCTGCGTGTGCTGTCGCTTGCCTTGCCTGGGTGGGAAACGAGCAGACCCAGACGACACGCCCACAGACCGCTGCTGCGGCCGCGCCCAACATCACAAGCGGCCAGCGCGGCTCCTGGGGCAGGACGGCAGACACGAAGCACCGCGCCACCGCTCCATCTGCTCCTGAGCCTTTCATCCGTGCCCGCTGACTCGCGAGATTCGAATTCCCTCACCCAGCGACTCTTCAGAAAAGCCGCGACAGCGCAACGATCCGCGGCCGTGATTACAAAGCCAGCCCCACAACCACACCGTTCCTCGCGGACCAAGGACTCTCCGAGATCCTGTTAAGCACCCTCGAGACCATCAATTCCCTCAGCCCATACAGCACTCTGACTGCAGCCTTGTCAGACCCTGAGTGGAGAACCCAGCCAAGCTGTGTCCTGGCCCCCAACCCACAGAAAGCTGTGAGATGACAAACAGGACATGTTTCAAGTTGCTAAATTGGTGGTAATTTGTAGAAAACAAATACAATCACAGGCTTCTTAAACTTGACACACACCAAACTGGGTCCCTGGCATCCTGCCTCAATCTCCCCCAAAACATCTATTCACCCCTTAGTCTCCTCCAGCCCAGACGGTGGCTCCATTTTCACGGTGGTTCAGATCAACCCCCCCTGAGGTCATCCTTGGTGTCCCTGGCACAGCCCCCATCCAGCCCATTTGAAAACACTGTCAGGCCAGCTTCAAGGTATCTCCAGAATCAGGCCACCGCCATTGTCTCTAGCCTGGTCCAAGCATGGCATCGTCTAGGCTCACAAAAGTTGCCATATCCAACCTCACCTCCCTGGGCTGATCTCTGACTGCCACCCTAATATGAGGACCAAGAACGGAGAAAACAGCCTAATATTTACTGAGAGAGCAAATGACTTCCCCTGCCCCTCTGGCCGTACAATTTTTTTTTTTTTTTCACTATCACATAGGGTGTAATACAGAGTAGAGACCCTGTCTCAAAATAAAAAAAAAAAAAAAAATTAGCCGGCATGGTGGCATGCTGTAGTCCCAGCTACTCGGGAGGCTGAGGCAGGAGGATTGCTTGAGCCCAGGAGTTGGAGGTTGCTGTGAGTAGGCTGATGCCAGCACTCACTCTAGCCTGGACAACAAAGCGAGACTCTGTCTCAA